CTTTTCGGTTTAGGATAGTTTTCTGATAGCTGTCATGTATGTTTTGTGGTGTGCAGTGGGCGTGGTCTGTGCTGCCTCAGGGTGGCTCAGTTGTGGAGATGGTCACTTGTGCACTGGCCCGGGGCCCAACCCGATCTATTCGCTCCATCGATGGAGCTAGGTCGCCACGGTATCCGGCAACGGAGCGGAAGCAAAAAGTGGTGTGGCGGGCCGAGGGTGGATGGGGACGGTCCTAGTGGTGGCATGGGTGCTCAGGCATTTGTGATGGCTGTAGAATTTAGTTGTGGTGGTGTTGTGCCTATGTGTGGACTTGCCTCCAAGATGTCATCGTGGCTCGATCAAAGACTCAAATTTGGCGGCCATGGTCTGCTACTCTTAGTGCGATGCAGGAAATGTCTCACTTTCAATTCGCAGTGGCTTGGCCCTCGGGGCTTGGGTAGGTGGAAGGCTTAGGTATCTAGGCAAAAACCTTGTTTTTCGATGGGGATCGATTGGTACCGACGATGATGGTGGTGGCACCCTCTTCCTTTGGAGCACCTGAAGGTGTCTCCTCTTCACTAGACCTTGATTAGCCGTTTCTAGGTTTGTCATTGTGGCTTTTGATGTGGTCGGCTTTTTCCCAATGCTTACAGTCTTCGATGAGGTTTTACGCCGGTGATGATAATGTCTACATGCTTCATTTTTCTTTTTTGAAGGTGTCTACGAAGAGCTTGTTTATTTCTCTTTGGATTGTGGCATGTTAACTAGGATGTCAATTTTATCCATGGGTTTGAATATCCAGGCATGTGTACGATGTTTTATCGAAAGGCAAAATCATGGGTAACCTGGTTAGTCATGGGTCAGAGTATGGATAGTACTTCTTATGCATGGGTTGGAGCATGGATAGTACTTCTTGCCCATGGTTCGCCCAATTAATATTTAAATAAGTAAATAAATATTTCTTTATTACATGTGCTTTGTGGACCACAGAAGATGTATAACACACATAATTGTATACTCTAATTCCTAATTGTAATACCCTGTAGTTGTGGTATAAGTAATTCGTTAAGCTTATTTTCTATTCCATGGCTTACCCATGGTTTAGGAAATTCAGAAACATAATTTAAATATATCATTACATTTTTAAATTCCTAACCTTTTCTTCATAATTATGAACATTTACTAAAACATTGAAGATTTTTCAAATAAAAATATTCATTTAAATCAATGAACATTTAATTAGCGATCAAGTTTTAAAAATCTTGTACAACTATAAAACTTATGATTTTTTTTAGAATTCATGAATATTTTTCAAATATTTTAAAAGAATGTTTTAAATATACGAACATTGTTTACATACTCGATTTTTTTTAAACATTGTGAACATTTTTTAAAATTCACAAAAAATTAAAATTTGTGTGTTTCTTTAATTATTTAAAAAGTGCTTTAATGAAATGTCAGTTCCTAGTTCCTATACTGTCCTGCGAGACACATGATTTGGCTAGACCCGTAGGCCTCCTTTGGTTTGTAGATATTTTGTAGAAACTCTATAGGATAGGATTTGCAAAGGAAAAATTCCTTTGAAGCCCTTTGATTTATAGGAATGGAGTCCTATTTCTATATAGGATAGGAATCAATCCTTCACATTTTAGAGGAAAAAAACATTAGCCTAGACTCAATGAAAAATTCCTATCCTATCAATCAAATGACATCTCTTTCTTTATAGGAATTAAGATGCATGTCATTTTAGTTCCTATAATTTTTCTATTTCTATAAAATTCTTATTCTATGAACCAAAGAAGGCCTTAGGGTCTACTTCAAAAAAAACCTTAAAGTCCCTAGCTTATTCTAGAGGCTCAATATAATTTTATTTCAAGTCTACTATCAGTTAACAACCGTTAATTAGTAGCCTTTAAAAAATTTAACCCTTAATTGTTAAGTATTAATAAAATTTTAGTACGGGCTTCTAGAATAACTTGGGAAAAAAGGCAACTTATTTCCATAGCTGACAATAAGCTAAAAAAAAGACTGAAAGGAGGCAACTTATTTTAACAACCGACAATAGCCCCAAAAGAATTGACCCTTATCAATTATAAGGATAGTGTGAGTCAATTAAGTCCTCTATTTCTAGAGCATAATAATCATATAAAATAGCCGATGGCAACCAGACATTCATGTTGAGCTTAGTAATTACTCCAAATACATTCATTTGAGATAAAACCGATAAAGCATATAAGGATAGCCTGGAGCAACCAGGCATTCAAGCTGCACAATGAATGCTAGAGAGCTTAGTAATTGTGTACGCTAGGCTTTTAGGCTGCATAAAAATATGCTAGGCTGCATCCTACATTGGAGAGCGAGCCTAGTAATTGTGCACACTAAAGATCTTAGTACTCCCTCCTTTCGGTTTATAAGGCTCAATTCAAAAATCTCACCAACCAAGGTAGATGATGAGTGGTGAAATATTTTTTGCAATTTGCAAAAGCACTCAATTAATGCTCTTGTTTTCCTCAAAAAATTATGTTTACGAATGCATTAATTGCAATGCATGCATGCATAAAATGCATGCATGTGTATCCTAGGCTGCACAAAAATATACTAAGCTGAAGCCTACATTGGACGCTAGAGAGCGTTCGCATCCTTATCGTCGTGTATATCTTTTTCTGTTTTTGGGGGCCCGATTCTGTACATCCTTCCCGTAGTATAAAATGACATCCTTATCCTGGTGTATATTTTTTTTCTGTTGTTGGGGGCTTGACTCTGTACATTCTTTCCGTAGTGTAAAATGGCATAGCTTTGTGCCTCTTTCCTGTAGAGTAAATGCGTTTCTGACGGACCTGGCTGAGAGTGTTTTAAATTTCGTGCAAGCCAATTTCTACATGCAACTCAGACAATCAAACTGCTCAGCATTTAGCCGTCAAAGTTTGGTTAGACTTGATACAGCCTAACTTAGTTAGGCTTGTTGCAGCCTAAGCCTATCAAACGCCTCATAGCCTGCACAAGAACATGTAACACACTGGAAGAGAACATTTCGTTCGAAAACTACTTTAATCATTTAGAGCATTGTTAATAATATAGCCAGTTACTGGTTATATGATGCTGGATAACGTCATGTCATATATAGTCATCTATAGTCATTCATATAAATATCTATAGTCATTCATGTAAATCATTTAGAGAATTCAAAATCTCTTTTAACTATTTAAGCATGATTGTTAATACAACCAGTTGCTTGCTATATGATATTATCATGTTATAAGTATATGGTTATCTTTTATAGTCATTTATGAAACAAGGTTGAGTACTACTTTATTTCAGCTTTCTTCATATTTATTATAGCTGTCATACTTTGTTTCACCTTCTATCCATCTCTTCCGTGCTTTCTTCATATCTATTATAGCTGTCATACTTTGTTTCACCTTCTATCCACCTCTTTCGTTTCATATTTATTGTATTTTTTCTTCATTTTTATTGCATTTTCTTCTCTCTATCTCATTTTTCATACTTATTCATTAATTTTTCTTCATATGTATTGCATTTTCTTCTCTCTTATCTCTTTTTTCATACTTATTAATTTTCTTTTTTGTACTTACTCCAACTATTTTTGCCCACTTCCACCGACGGAAGTTATGTAAGCAGGCTATAAGTCCATTATTATATTCGCTCTTCATCATTTTCTTATGTCTCTGCTCCACATAGACATCATTTTCTTATGCCTCTTCTCCACATAGAGGAAAATATCGTGCGAGTGTAAGTAAGCTATAAGTCAATTATTGTACTCGCTCTCAGGGCGATTTACTTACACTTGACTTATGTCTCTGCTCCACATAGACATCATTTGCTTACTTGCTATCTTTATAAGGAAATAAAGATGATAAGTCCAGCTAATTGATGCACCAACACTGTGGTTCATTTATTTTCTACAGCTCCGCTTATGCAGGGTGAAACTTAAGACAAAAGCAGCTAGCTGGTGCTTCTCACACGGTTGACATCAGATGGTACATAAAACATACAACAGCGGCCGTCCGGCCGGCCGGTGGCCTCGGCAACTTTATTTCTAGGTAGCTCTACATCGCCGTGGTACTACGGCTAGCTAGCCAGCTACTGGCGCCCGAGCTGACGTCCACCGGCGCCCATCCCCTGCCGCGCCTGCGCCCGCGGCTCCTCCGCCCCGGCCTTCCTCCCTTCCTCCTCCCCCAGATCACGCCGCGGCTGCTGCTGCTGCTGGTGCGGCGAGGCGTCGGCCACGTGCCGCGCCTGGGCGAAGAGGTCGACGGGGTCGGAGTCGGCGATCTTGCCGCCCTCCAGCGGCGAGCCATTGAAGTAGCCGGTCCTGAGCTCGTCGTCCACGGTCAACCTCGCCTGGGCCGTGCCGTGCTTGATGTCCTCCTTGCTCGTCGCCATGGCTCTCGCTGATGTGCCTCGCTACGGATGAGCTGAGTGCCTGGTGCGGGTGTGTCTCTGTCTCTCCGATCCGTGTACGCCTCGTCGTCCTTGCGGTGCACTGCGCTATTATAAGTGAGGTAAGCTGGCGGTGAAGCTCGCGTGAAGAGGACACGCCGCACCGTGACGTGGCTGCATGCATGCCATGCTAGCTCGCTCTCGAACCCTCTACAGCATGGCCCGCATGAAGCCCATTGAACGACTGATAATGGTATTCCCAAGCTTGTACGAATTCAAACTTTCAAAAATAAATGGCACGCTACAGATAAATAATACTCCCTCTGTTCTAAAATATAAGATATATCATTATTTTAAGTCAAACTTTGTCCAAATTTATAGAAGAAAACATCATTATCACTAGATTCCTCATGAAATACAGATTCTAAGATTTTAATCCTTATCACTAGATTCGACATGAAATACATATTTAAAGATTTTATTTATTTTGTATTGTAGTTCTTGACATATTTTGCTATAAACTCGGTCAAACAAGGTGGACTTTTGAAAAAAAATCAACACACCTTATATTTAGGAGCGAATTAAGTAGTATAGGTACCTTTTAATGTAACCAGTAATCCTATTTTACCCAATATGATTTGAACTTTTGAATCCATAAATCTAATATCATGTATTTTCCTCAAATATGGAACTTCTAGGTTCAGAAACTTACTTCTGCAAAAGTAAATCTATGAAACAGAAAAAAAGAAGATTATCACAATGGAAATATTTCTAAACTTGTGAATATTGTATGCATATTATTCACCACTTGTACATCTTGCATTCATAATTATTTCACAGCGTGTTTGTTTCGCGGGAGTTTGTATCGGGGAATGGGAGTTCCTGCGGCGCATGACTTAAAATCCCTTGCATGGTTGGACGACATGAGAATTAAAGAAGGCGGGGGAATAAAGGGAATTAAGGGGTGCAACACCCCCATATCTCTTTCCTGATGGGGGGCTGGTAATTGAGTTGGGGAATGGAAAGTGAGAAAATTGTTTGTTGTCCACGCCCCGCAAGCAACGATACTAATTAATCCCCTCTTAAATTCCCACAAACTATCCTCATCCATACCAAATATGGGCATGGGACTAATAAACCACTTCCCAAATCTAATCCCTCAACCAACTCCCTCTCATAAATTCCCATTTCTTTTCCCTTAAACCACCAAACACGCCGTCAGAAGGTTATGATTCCCACCCAGATCCAAACAACTACATATAGAAGAAGAAAAAAATCTCAGCACCACATAGATCAAAGATCAATTATTCAGGCCTCTAACCAACCGCAACGTAGAGTCAGAGGAGTTGAGAAGCTGGAGGGCTCCCTAACACGTCCTAAGTCCCCTAAGAAAATTGTACAACGATTTTTCTGGACTGGGGGTGGTGCGCCCCCAACCCCACACACACACATGAAATAACTTGATTGTCGAGCTACACAAAAAATTTTATGGACTTTGAGAATGAAAATGCATGTGTTGAAAAGCACAGATTTTTTTTTGTGTGTACCTCTCATTTTAGTGTATTTCATCATGGAAATTTATGCGAATGTACATTTTGTATCTGGGCATATTATTTTTTCAAAAAATAGAAACGTAAAAGTATGATTTTTTTAAAAAATTCAGCCTCCATAGAGCTCGGTGTCCACTTGGCATTTTTGTCTCTTAAATATTTCCCTCCTTGTTAGTAATGTTACAACTTGAGAGTCAAATGCAAAGACTTTCCTAAAGTGTGGTCAGCTAAGATAACTATACTATA